TAAGAATTTTGCCTAGCGTTGTAAGTCCGCAGACATACCGCTGAGCCACTGGGAGGGGGGGGGGGGCTGTATACAGTGAAATAAATTACATACAATAGTGAGATACAATAGTGTAGCACACAATATATCCAATGATAAATTCACTCACTACAGGGAACATTTGAACAAAGTAAAATTAATGGGTAAAGGAAGGGTACAAATTAAGGGTAGAAATAGTCCAAGAGAAGTAATAGTTTAAAGCAGTTCAACAGTCCTAAAGGATTTTTTCGGTGTTTTTTATTGTAACAATGCAAATTATAATGATAATCAATAAATAAAATAAAACAGAAATACAACACAAGGCCAAAGAGGGACACACAATACATAAACATAACAATGAGTATGTTTGTTTGTAGTTAAGCCCAAAGCTACACAATGGGCTATTTGTGCTCTGCCTACCACGGGTATCGAAACCTGGATTCTTGCGTTGTAAGTCCGCAGATATTCCGCTGTGCCACTAGGGGGGCCAATGAGTATGAAAAGAGAAACGAATATGAGGTAGATCAATAGGAAATCGAGCTTTATGTAGAGATAGAAAGTTTATTGTAATACGTATTAAATAAGAATATATAAATTCTTAAATTTCATTAGCTTTTCTTCTATTCATTGTTTTTAAAGAATGTTGAGCGCTAACTCAATATATTTACATCGTAAAACAATAATAAAATTTATAGTAAATAGAAAAGAAGTTATGGTCAATCAAAGCTTTATGTGTGAGAAGTGACCAAAATTATTTTTGTATCTAATATATGCAGAGAGGCGTGACGTTGCTGGACCATTGACCACTCCAAGATGGCAACTCCGTGACTATTGTCGGACCCTATTATCGTATAAAGTCTATTACGATATATCTGAGGTGTTTAAGTGCCATCTATTAGCAGACCTCGGCGACGATCAAACCCATCAAATAGAGGGCAAGTAAATAAATAAATAAATGAGATTTTTCTCTATTTTAAGTTAGACATTAAATTACGCTTTAAATTATAGAGATCTGATATAGGTATTTTGTTGGGGTATCTTGAATATTTAAAAAAGTGCATGGTTGTAATCATAAACAAAAGCGATTCGCTGATTTAATGTGATTGTGATAATCTCCAAAGAAGGTTGTGAAAGAATCTGATCGCAGGTATATTCCAAAGGGTTTTTTTTTACGTTAAAATTGTTACCAAAGGATTTTTTAAAAGCTTTCACAAAATATATTGTACGTTCAACAAAACTTTCAAAAGATTATATTACGAACATAAATGGTATATGTCATCATAACTTCATATAAGTTATAACAGTTAACACACTACTGACTATTGTATTGAAGTTGTATGTTCTTTTGTAGGCCTAGTTAACTGTTAAGTATAGTAAACTACTACTGGTAGTACTACAAGTTCTTTGAATTGGCCAAACTAGGTGTTAAAATGTTTCTGTCAAACTCGGTCATTGCTAACAACTCTACCGAAAACCTCGAATACAATTTTCCTTAAAAGTTAAAGTAATATACTTTTCTTTAGGTTTCACTAATTCAGGTTTTTTATAAAAACTAAAAGTAAAACAGGTTAAAATTTCTCAAGTGTCATTAACAAGCAGATTACAATTGGTATAATTATTAATAATATAGTATATATATAGATAGTATTATTATTATTTTCTTATATGTCAATGCATCTATATCTGAGAGTGAGACTTGATTAAAATTTTAACAGTAGATGGTGCACTGTTTAACATCCAGAAATTCTTAAGTTTTTTCACATTACTAAAAAAACCTTTTTTCACATTTGTAATTATAAGTTAATCTAATAATGTTAAAAAGTTAAGTTTCATTTATGTTGCTACAGAGCGGGTAATAATCACTATTTCAGGCTTTTTATCAAATAGATTAATTCAGAGTCTCGATAATTAATAAGTAATGTTGCTAATAGTAATATAGTATTTGAAGATAGTATTATTAATCATTACATTATGTACACTTATAGCTAAGACTTAATTGAAATTTGAACAGCGGATGGTGCACTGTTAATCCTGTTTCATTATATGATTCCTCAATACCTTAGAAATTTTCGTAATCAAGTTTTTTCACTTTACCAAAACAACCTTTTTACATTATTATAACTTAATAATGTTTAAAACTTAAGTTTGATTTATGTTGCTATAAGTCAGTAATAACTAATATCTGAAATGTGGTTAATTAGTTTCGAACTTTAAAGAGTATTTTAAGTTTGACTTATCAAACTAGTGGTGACATGAGGCAAATGGTAGCAAGGAAATTGTTAGGCATTTGTGATGGGAATTACCTGTATTTTAACATTTGTAGCATGTAAACTGGTTTTAGCCACACACTTGTGGTGATGAATAATGAGAAAAATGTTGTGAAAATTATTTGAATGTAGCACTTTTAAAGTGAACTGACCAAATTATATATATCATATTAAGAGTAGTATTATCAAAGAGAATGAGTAAGGTAAAAGAGTATGTGAAATATTGTTTTTTTAATAGTGTACATATATTTACTTTTTCATTTTTAATATAAAACATATCACTTATGTAAACATTGTCAAAACAGTAATAAACCATGTTTCATGGTTAATCTGTATCTTATGAGAAACATTTTTATTGTTTTCTGCTTATAGCAAACACCTAACCCATCCAAAGAAATAAGAATGAAGCCACTTCAGGTTTATCGTCAAGCTTCAATTTTCTTTAATATATGCAAGTCAGGAGGAAGAAAATGGAGCCAGAAATTTAACAGTATTGGTAGAAATCCACAAATGAGAAAAGTAAATCGTACCTTTTACTTGTTGCATAAATAGTTTAATCATAATTAGTTTTTGTAATGCTTAATATGTGATTGTGATTTTGAACAGTTAGTACTTAATTTTTTGTTCTGGACAGATAAAATGAAATCCACTTTTTAAAACTATCACAAAGTTGTATCCAGCATTTGGGTAATGGAATTTGAAGTCTTTAATATTTTGTAATTTGTTTTTAGGTAAACCATGAACAAAACATTAGTGTGATACGTGAAAAAAGCTTTGATTGTACATTAAAATCCATTAACTTTTACAAACAACAGATGTTTTGCTGTGTGATTTTTATTACAAGATTTATTTGATACAGGGGTCCAGTATAGGAATGTCTTCAGAAATTCCTGTTTTTGAAAACATTAATCAATTTTTGGGAAATATAAAATGTCTTTGGCATTAAGAATAAAACCAAAGTTTGTATTCTATAATGGTCTGGCCAAATCTATGGTCATACATAAGCTTATTAAGATAAAATACAAAGAGAAGTAGAATACCATATTTTGTGGTGTTGTGTAGAACCTGTCACTGTCAGTATTCAATATCAAGTGTATATGATGTTTAAAAGGCAGTAATGGCACAGTGAGGAATGATTAAAATACTGTAATACAATTTTAAAATTGGCAGAGCCAACAATAGCTGTATATATTGCCCTAGTGAAAACACAAAATGATAGGCTTGCATGTACATCTCTTGTCAATCAAATGTATATTTTTTAAAACAAGTCATGTAAGCCACATGAGTGTAATTATTCTAAGTAATAATTAAATTTTATCAATGATAATCCTGATCTCAAAATATTTTTTTCTTGTTTATAAATCTGTTAGAAGTATAGTTTGATTCATCAACCACACTATTTAAAATATAAGAGCATCTATGATGTTTCTTGAACATTTGTTTATTGTGAAACTGACATCTTTTTTTTTTGGTTATTACGTCTCTCTGTTAGTATAAGTTAATATTCTTTAATTAGGTAACTTTTCGTTCTTTTGATATGTAGCATTTACTTAATTATACTAAGAGCTTTGTTTTATTTATTTATTTTTTAATATGTAACATTACATGAGATTCCTGGTACTACAGAACTACAGTTATGTTATGTTATCAGCTTACCGGCTTGCATGATATTTCTTTCTTTGAAGTTGTTATGTAAAATCAATGTTAATTAACCACAGTCTGATACTGTCAGAAAAATGTGTGGATTACATTTAAGATTTTATCTTGACTGTAGTGTGCATATGACCTTTGATTTATGGTATGCTAATACAAGTCTTGAAACATTCTATAGCATCTTGGCCATCATATAAAGGAATTTGCATAAAATTGAATGGATAAATACATCTCATTTAAGAAAAGGATTTCAAAGGGCCAAAGCTGTAATCTGTAGTCTTCACATAGTCTTTATATACATTATTTACGGAATCCAGAGAGTAGAGAAGCAACTGTAAGGTCAAAAGGACATTAATATATATTTCAGGATACTACTATTATTTGAAAACATTATATAGAAACTAGCACCCTAAAAGCACATTATTGTAGGCTTATACATGTTTTTCCCATAGTGCAAAGTTAATACTCATTTTACCATATACATAACATATAAGATAAAGAGCCTTTGTTTAAGAAGATACTTGCTTGAGTTTCTTCCATGAGGATATTTCTTTAATTATGATGAATAGATATGATAAATACCTCCATCAGAGAATAGAAATGAGATGTAGAAAAAAAAAAATTCCATAGAACTGTAATCAAGACAAATGGAAAGATGGAATGTGTATTTTTATTTATACATTTAAAGATAGAATGTTGTAGAAATTAAGTTTTTTTTTCATATTATTGGTGTTGTATGCAAGTCCTACATTACATACCTTACTCTCCTATAATATATATTTCCTATCCACTAACAAATCTTAAACATTCTTGAGGATATGTTTCAAATTGAAACTGAGGTGTTACACTGTATATTTTGGCTTATCAAGGAACATATATGTAGTTTTATAGGATAGTTGTATCGTAACCTGCTTGACCTTGTATATGGGCGAAACCTTGTGACTGTCACATGGACCAGCAATATTTACATATTTTAGTGCCCTATTTCTAATTGGTAACCTACAGAGCTCAGAATGTGTATTGTGAATACAGTTTTGGTGCTTTGAAATTAGATTAATTCCAACTTTTGAGGAAGGTATTTCATTTTCTGACACAAGTGAGCCAAGATAAGTTAGTGAAGTTTCATCTGTATCTTACATGTTATTGCTGCTGAGCACATAATTACATTTAACTGGGTACTGTTTAACAATTTTTCAATTATCTCCATCTCATTTATGATAATTTAACCACTAGGCAATCATCCGTCATTTTGTCTTCTTCAAGAAATAAAGTAGATATCTTTATCTTAACATCTACAATGTTTCTTGTCTCTATCATTTTGTCTTCAACAAAACACTACATTTATCATTCTTCTTATTTTGTTTATGATTGAGTGACTGTGAGCTAGGATTATCCTTGAACTACCACAATGTCAGTAATGTATAATTGTTTAGATGGAAAGCTCACAGAATTTTCTGGAATGAAATTTGAATCTACAATTTATGCATTACCGGAAGTTCCAGTCGAGAAGTAATTATAATTATCTCTGCTGTGAAATGAATACTTATTGAATGACAGCAATTTGTTTAATAGTGTAAAATGGATAAAAAATAATTTTAGACATAATTTCAAAGAATTTTTGAGATTTTTGGAGTTTGATTTTTTTGTTGTATGAGGCCCATTAGTATACAATATTCTAGGTAGTGATTTGTGGTAGCCATAATGTGGACCTTACTAACAATTGCATATACACACACACAATTTTAAAATTTACACAAGTAAGAAACTAACAAAAAATAATTTTAAAAACTTTTAAAGGTAATTTCAAAATGAAAAAATGGTTAATAGAACAAAATTTTGAGTCAATAAATGAAAAATATAGAAAGAGGAAATGGAACATTTAAAAATACTTAGAATTAGAAAACTTGAAAAATGAAGATAGAATGTATCTAATTTAAGCTTTGGAAATAAAGGAAACATTGTAGATTACCACATAATAACAATTATGCTAAATATTATCATTTGAAGACCTTAAAGTTAAATAATATTCATGAAAAGAAAAGGTGAGAGACAAAACAAGCACTTAAGTTTTAACTTGTATTCTGATTATTGTACATGCAGTTTGAGTTTGAATATAGGCTGCATAAGATGGTCATGACTGTACAGAATTCTGTTTTGGGCAAGACTGCTATTCAAATGGCATTTGACATATATATATATATATATCTGTTGCACTTTTTATGGTTTTGTTGCTCATACAAAGCTGAAGTAAATAATTTTAAATATAATACCCATATAGGGATTCAAGTTGAATGTTATGTACACAGATTAAAATTACCTATACAATTTTAACTCATGGATATGTCTAACTAGAGACTTTGTTTACAGTTTATTTCCTTCTTTTTTTTAACAGATGCTCTTGCCATGTTTCATATTTCACAATATGGCACAGGTCCACACAGACACCATCAGCAAACACATTAAGATTACAAGAAATGATGATTCAAATGAATCCAATGCACCATTAGTTGTGCTCGTTGCATGGATGTTGGCCAAGGATCACCACATTGAAAAATACAGCAGTATTTACTTAGAGAGAGGGTTTGATATTCTTACAGTGAAAATTACTCCAGTCAGTCTGTTATTTCCAGCCTCTCGCTGTCACATCCTTGCTCAATCCCTGTTAGATTTTCTGGAAGAACAAAAACAGTATGAGAAGATCTTGGTACATGGTTTTTCTGTAGGAGCCTATTTTTTTGGAGAGTTCCTACGAAAGTTGAAAGAAAAACATGATTCACTAAGCCTGGTTCATCGATTTAAAGGGCAAATATTTGATAGTGCTGTTGATTATGAAGGAATTCAGAAAGGTTTTCCTCGTGCTATTACAAGTAACCCATTATTAGTCAAGCTTGTGGAGTTTTACATTCAGAGTCACCTTAATATATTTTACAATGTAGCAACCAAACATTACCTGGAATCATCGAGAGCATTTCATAACACATTGTTGAGGTGTCCTTCCTTAATGTTAGTCTCAAGAGATGATCTGGTTGGAAACCCACAGGCCAATGAAAAGGTGATGAACAGTTGGAAGTCTCTGGGATTGGACGTGTCATGGAAGTGTTGGGACAAATCTGGACATGTCAGTCATTTGTACCATCACAAAAATGAGTATATTGATGAACTTGATAAATTTCTTAAGAAAATTCAGCTTTAAGGGCATTCTGGAATGGCATATTGTTTTGGTTAATTTGTGCCATATTGTTTTGGTTATTTTGAAAGAACTGCTTAATTATAGTGCATGTATTGACTAAGTTGAATTTAATATTTTGGTCTGGATTTCAATTTTTTTTTACTCCTATCAAGAATTTTGGTAACTGATAGCTCTACATGAAGAAAATGGACATTTTATTTAATAAAAATAATTCTTTGATTAAAAGTGAAAATTTAATGTACTTTAAAACTTAGTAAAAATGTATTGTATGTTCTTATTAACTTCCTTTTTCTTCCTTTTAAATAGGTGTAATTTTATACCATTGGTCACATTATTTGTCTTACATTTTTTAAGGAATTTTGTGAGTTTTTAACATGCCTAGTGTGAAAAATAAACTAAGTTTCATTTGAGCACCTAATTACATTCAAATAACCCAGTTGAAGGATTAATTTTTAAGCTTATGGCTTTAAGAAAATAACTAAAAGGTTAGTGTTTTACTTTATGTTACTTGGAGATACAGTTAGTAGTGTACGTTCAAAGGATATTAGACTAGTGAATATCTAGAATACCTGTGGTTTACCAGTTTCACCCATATATATATATATATCTAATAATGTATCAAAAATCTTCTTTTTTTTTTTTTAATTATTTATAGCTATTGTATTTTAATTAAAGTTAAGAGTTAAGTTCTTAGCGTAGTTTAGAAATGATGGTGATATATTCAAACTTAGCTGATCATGTACAGTGTTAGCTATTTATTCCTGGCATAGGTTTCAACTCTACTTTGAATACTAGTATATTTCAGTTTAAATACAATGTTATTGAGTCATTTATTTTGTTATAGGCATTTTACAATAAGTGTTTTGTGTAAAGTCATTTGTCTTATATTAAGGACTGTCTCAAAAGTTATGGTATTACATCAACCCATCAGCTTTAAAAATATAATTGTTTAAACTTTTCATGCAAGAAAACGAAAATCTTATCACTAAGATACATAAATCGTTATGAAAGAAGAATGAAAAACTACTTTATAAAGCAGTTACTACAAATCAAAATGTTACACATAATGGTAGTAGTAAGATCATCATTTTCAGGCCATTATGTTGTACTCTTATTCGTTATTTCAAAGCTGATTTAAAAAAAAATCATTATCATTCCTCTAGTTTTGTCATATTATATTTTTACCTGTCATTTTGAAATGTAAGACATATCGTCAGATTCAAATTTTTTAAAGAGTAGAGTAACCCTAAAGGCATTTAAAGATAGTCAATGAAGCTAAAAGTGGCTATGGAACAACTAAATTTTCCAATTCCAATGTATGAAAATGTTTTACATTAGTAGTATTATACAACTGCTAATGTATAGGATATCATATGTACAGCTATGTATGTGAATCATTCAGCATTAACAGCTGCATTTACACAGTTTTAACATTCACTTTATTAAAATGGGAACTAGCCATTACCTCACACATTACTAGTTCCATTTAAAATTAGTGTTCCACGTGAGACAAAAGTTTCTCATAACCTGGTACCTTATGTTTCTGTGTTGTTACAGAATGTTAGCATAAAAATCTTTATGTCTTGGAATGCCTTTTTTTTTGCTACATATTTTTATTCTAAGTTCCAATATTGTAGAGCTCATTATTAGATGCCAACAAAAATGTAGTACAAAATGTTTAACTACTGTTAAATAAATGTTTTCTTTTTTTCTTTTTGTTTGATCATGATAGGAAAGCAAAAGAACAACCCTATGATTTCTCGCCTGATCTCAAATAACTTTTGTATATTATTAAACAATACTGTTAGTGACTTATGCAATTATAATAAAAATATAAGGTAAGAAAAAACAAGGAAATTTTTGATTATTTTTTTTCCGCACAAAAAACTGGTAAATCATGAACTGATAATGTTGTCAGAAAATATTGTGAGTTTTGTTCTTGTATGGCTATAAAAATGTAATATATATATATATATATATACCAATAGAAAAGTTGGGGTATTTCTGGATAATACTAATGAAAATACTGGCAGGTCATGGCTTGTTGAGGCTATATTTAGATAAATAAGTCATCAACTTATTAAATTAAAGTACTGACATTATAATGAGAATGTTCCTTGTTCTGGGCTAAGCTGTTTATATTCAGTTGTTGTTGTTTTAGAAAAAAATGGGAAATACTATGAAAATACTCAGCAGGATATTTATTGTAATATGATTATGTGAATTTATCGTGAATATCATTGAAAGCTTAACAAGTCTAAAGAAGTTATAAAGTCATTGTACAAGTCATTGGTTAGGACGTATTTGAAGCACTGTGTTAAGTCTTGGGCTCTTTATCTTAGAAAGGACACTGAATTGTTGGAAAGGGTTCAGAGAAGGGTTTCTAGGATGATACCTGGGATGGAAAGTTTGTCATACAAAGATAGTTTAAGATCTCTGAACTTATTTTTTCATGAAAAAAAAGAAGAGTTAGGGGGGAATCTGATTAAGGTTGTTAAGAGAATTGATATTTTTGATGCAACATCTTTTTAAGCATTTTATGGTGAGAATGGCAGGACTAGGAGACACAAGTACAAATTTTGGCCTTTGAGTTTGTTTTGTGTTTAGTTTAATTTAGTGGATAGGATGGCCAGAGATGGACCAAAAGGTTCCTTGTAGTCCTTTTATATTGTGTTATGTATATCAGTGAAAATAATATGTATGTGGAAAAGTCCATTTCAACTCTAATGTTATTTCAATTATTGTAAAATTTGTTAAGATTAGCAGAAAGATCATGATGTTGGCATTAACTTAAACCCTTAAATTATAAAAAAAAATAATAATAATAATAATTTAATTTTCACATTATGTGCTACATGTCTTAATAAATGTTTTTAAAAACTTTTTTTTTTTGGTTATTATTGTTGTCTTTTTTTTGTGTATAAAACTCAAAATGTATATTAGTATTTTTGGATTTAATTTTTTGTTGTTTAGGTGTAATAATCTTTGTGCTTATAGGCACAATATTTCACCTGTAAATGAAACTTTTCTAGGACTGTTTGACAGCCAACAACATTTTTTGACTGATATTGCAGATATACTGTAAAAATAGTAATAGTTTTGTTGTGATCCATAAAATGTGCTAATTTGTTTTTTTCACCTTTATATTTAAAGTTGTAAAATTTCTTCTAAAGTATCCAAGCACCTTATGTTAATGCATACATTACATGAAATAGTAGCTTGAGGTAATAATTCTCAGAATGGGTAGAATGCAGTTATCTTACTGTATAGTAATGTGATATATGCTGGAGTTTTATACTCTCCTTTCATAGAAAATTATCAGATAGGAACTAATGTTTTATCACAGATAATTGTTGCATGTATGGCTAAGCAACTCAGCTGTTAAAGTTACACATGTTTCTCACTAGTCATTTGTACAATGGGGTTAGTGTTCCTGGACTGCAAATCTGAGAATACTGGTACAAAGCCTGTTGCTGAAAAAATACACTTCACAGTTTGGGGACATGAATGCACCAGTGGAGTGATGTTCAAATCCCACCATTCAAAAAAAGGGGAGTTGGTGATTGGGTGATGGTTAGCTGTCTTCCATCTAGTCTATCAGCTCAAAGTTAGGGATGGATATATGCAGGTAGCCCTTTGTGTAGCTCTGTGCAAAGTTTTTTAGACAGTTCTTTAAGGAAGGGAGGTTACTTGACAGTGACAGATTGTAGTAATTACTTTCAATGTTAGCTTAATTGATTTGGAAACCAAAGATGATTTTACATAACTAATAGGACAGCTTCATTCCTTTTTTAGAAATCTGTGAATGTGTATTATTTTTAAATAATTTTAAAGATGAATTTTTTTAATATTGTTTTACAATTTCAACTACTTCTGTATGTAAAAATTTGTGGCAGATGGCTTTATGTCCTCAGTATAAACTGGTATGGAGGTCCAGGTGAAAACTTAATGTGTAATGTTAGGGCTCTGTTGTATATTGAAAAGCCTGAGTTTTTACTGGTAAACTATTAGTTTTTTCACACATTTTTCATTGCAAAATATATTCACCAAAGACAGTATAAATGATTTATTTTACATTCATAGTTATATGTTTAATTAAATATATTACAAAATATGCAATTTGTTTATATTGATTATAAAACTTGTACCAAAGAAGTTTTGAATATTTATATTTACAATTAAAAATGTGGTTTTGACCAATTCTGTTATAACAATATATAATACATTTGGTTTTATAATTTCTGTGATTTATTAAATTTACAAGCTATAAGTTAATTTTTAGCATTTTTAATGGTTATTCTTGAATAACAAAGTAAGTTGCATGGGTTATGCTAAGAAAACTGCCAATGTAAGGCAGTAAAAGTTTTCAATAATTAGCAAACTGTTCATATTAATAGCATTTTCCAATTTTTCTTCATGTATATGATTAAAATATTATGGGATTTCAGTTGCTTTTGTTGTTTGTTATTTTCAATTTTAACTTCTCTGGTTTTTAAAGACAGGTTTAAAACACATTTAGTAAATTTTCAAGCACTCCCAATCATAAGCAATCATTCACACACCTAAATACAAAACTCTCTAACCTTTTTCTTTTTTTACATGTCTGATTACAATTTTATTTAAGGAATATGGGTCAAGAATTCTCTTAGGATTTTCTTAACCTATGGTATTTAGATTGATGTATGACATTACTTGCATTCATTGAAAGATGTTGATCTTTATGATTTTATATTTTTGTCTTTAATTGATTTTTGAACTTATGTGTTTTCTTAACATCATCAATCTACACACCTGTGTATATGCTCATTTCTGTAAAGTCACTGAACCCAGAGAAAAGTGACACAACAAATATACATCCACAAAAATTCCCATGATGTTTAAATCAACCTTTATATTAATTCTTGTCTTTCTTCAAGTGTTTGTGCATTTTCAATTTTTTTTAATTCCATCTACAAATAAAATATATCAATATGTATATTGTTCGCATCAAAAGTTATTCACATGGTAAATTATTAAATTTTTTATGAGATAAACTCAATTCATACTATATTTACATGGTAACATTTTGTTTTCTGCATCAGCTTTTTCCCAGGAAAAAAAAGCATCTTTAAACAAAGTATAGTAAATGTAACATAGAATACCATTAATTTGTAAAAAAAAGAAAAGAAGATCACAAGAAGTATCAGTATTAACCATTGTTGACAAGAAATTTATGTTGTAATACTAATATGGAATCATGAAGGTGTGTTAATTTACTGATTAGTAGCAATCTAGCCTATTAGGTTCAAGTCGACCCATTTCAGTTACTTTGCAGTATATTTTACCCTTCAAGTGGATGAAACAGTTTGAACTTAAAATCGTAATATCTCTCAACATAACTTTGATTAGAACAACTTATGTATATATATATATCAACTTCCAAATATGTTAAAATTGATTCAAAGATGTTGGAACTTTTCAAGGAATGGATGTTAGATTAAAACACTTAAAAAAAAATTGCTACCAGAAAGAAAAACATTGTATTGAGAATATTTATAAATTAAAGGAACTTTAGTTTGAAGAACAGTTAGAAGAAAACAGAAATTCTCCTTACATAAAAGGAAGAATGTTTTAGAAATGCAAAAACATTTTTTGGTCAACAAAATCAGAGGTATAATTATAAAGGTCCTCACTGTGAGAAATCTTATTCAGAATTGGAGAAGATCAGCATTTTTCACTGAATGTATGTAATGTCAAATATGAATCTAAATAATCCAGGTTTAGAAAATCTCAGAAGGATTCTTAACCTATATTCTTTAAATCTCAGAAGAATTCTTGACCTATGTTAATTAAATCTCAGAACGATTCTTGACCTATATTCATTAAATCTCAGAACGATTCTTGACCTATATTCCCTAAACAAAATTGTAACTGAAGACATCGAAAAAGAGAGTGATTAAATTTTCAAGTTAAACAGAGTACAAGCAAATTTAGAGGGCAGTTTGAATTTTATTACTGTAGAAGCAATGTTTGGAAAAAAAAATTGAAGAGTTTTTTTTGGCAGAATCTAAGAAAATTTCGATTAAAATAATTTATCTATGGGATCTTAATTTTTAAGGTGCACTCTTCTTTATTTCTTCAGTGTTGCAAACGTTTCAGAAAGTTTCTTGACCTATATTATTTAATTCTCAGAAGGATTCTTGACCTATATTCTTTAAAGCTCAGAAGGATTCTTGACCTATATTCTTTAAATCTCAGAAGGATTCTTGACCTATATTCTTTAAATCTAAGCATTCTTGACCTATATTCTTTAAACAAAATTGTAATTGGAGACATCTGAAAAGAGAATGATTAAATTTTCAAGGTAAACAGAGTAAAAGCAAATTTAACTTATATTATTCAAAGATTGATTATAAAAATATTTTTTTTTAGTAAAATCAAAATTCTTGAATTCTTTAAAAAACTCGAAAATGGTTTTTCAAATAAAGTTATAAAGACCATTTGTTCTTTATGGATTAGCTCTATTATCACAATGTGGTTTCCGAAATAGTAACTTGAATTAAAAGATATCAAATATTGAAACAAGTTTAGTAATTTAAAAAATTAAGAAAAGTCTTGCAGAAGCTTATACGAAATTGTGTTAATGTATTTACCAATAAGAAATCTCAAT